AGCTTAAACTAAACAGTAAAAGTTTGTGAGTTTAGGTGCACAAGTCCAGATCTCAGGCCTTCCTGTTGCTTATGCCCTGTAGCCCATGGCTCTGAACCTCCTTGGCGTGGTCAGGGTGCTATCTCCAGCACGTCTGCCAAAATAGACCCTGGTAGGGAAAAAAAAAAGGGGGAAAAAAGACAGAAAAAAAGGCTGGATGGTTGTCCCTCCAACAGCTGAATACTCCTTTCAACAGTTGAAGTTGCTTCTCTTGTGGTCTATGGTCTCCTGGCCAAATCCCACAGCGCCTGCTGGATTCCTTTTCAAACCAGTTTCCTCTCCATTCAGCCAGAGCTCCCTTTGGCAGCAGCCAGCAGGAACTGCCTCCCTCGCAGTCGAACTTAGGAGGGAATTTGCAGAAAGAAACAATCCCAGTGGTTGGGTAAGTGGAGAAAGCTCTTTAAAAGTCCCCAAGATGTCATACCCTGGCTCTGCGAGGTCACGTGCCATCCTCTGTTCCCTGCAAAGTTAAACATGTTCTAACATTATTTGCCAAGCTGGGGCCACTGCTGTGAAACTGTTCCTCTGGTTGTTATCGCAGGCGTGTGACGTGAGTCATTGTTCGGGGCCTCTTGGCCTCGGCTCCTCAAACGGGTCCTTGAGAAAAAAACTGTTTTCTGGCAAACAGGAAGGCAGATGCTGAGGGGCATCTCACAGGCCAAGAGACAGCCTGTGCAGAGACCTGGAGAACCAGGAACCCGAGGCTGAACTCACCCCTGGGTGCTCCGAGTGCCAAAATCACTGCTGGTCACGGGGTTGTCACTGGGTTTTGATTCAGGTGGAATCATGATGTGTCAACAAGGCAAAGTTTGAGATTCACCAGGGAAAGTCAGGTAGGGGGATCGATGTTTTTACAGTAATGGCTTGAATAAAGCTCTTTGCATCTTGGGGAGGGAACAACCAACCAAAAAAACAGGAATCCAGTTGGCCTTCCACCAGTTTTGTGTGTTGGTGAGCTTGGATCTCCCCTCTTGACCCGGCAGTATTCTGGTTTTGTGTTCAGCTTCATCCTGGCACCCAGCACGTGGTTTCCCAGCAGCAGCACACAGCAGGCATGCCATGCCTTGAATCTCTTAGTGAAGCACAGCAGAAGTTGAAAAATGGGAGCTTTCAAAGCAGAATTCCAGCACCAAGGAGTATTTATGGAGGGTCAGCTCACAGAAAGAAGCTGTCTTGGTAGGACTGAGCAGCAGCCTGAGGAAGCAGCCTTAGGCTGGGACATGCCTGGGGTGTGTGTGAGCCACCTTCCCTGCTTTGTGGTAATTCCATGTGTCAAGGCACGAGTGCTCACAGAGGGGATGCAAAATGAGTTTTCTCAGGGTTCAGCAGTGATCCAGCAACCAAAGGCTCCTGGGTTTCTCCTGGCAACGTTTTGTCCTTTAAACTGTTCCTTCTTGCTTTCCCTCGGGGCCGTGCTGTGAGTGTTTTCGTGCAGTTTGGTGCCAGTGAGCTTCACCCTCCTCCGCCTCTCTGCTGCGGATTCACAGGCCCTCCCAAAGCAGAGCTGGCAGGAATCCTCCCCCCACCCGTGTGTGTCCAACACGTGCCTCTGTTTGGGTGATGACACGTGCCCGTGTTTGCTGGTGGTGATGTAGCTGCTTGGTTCTCCAAGAGGATCTGTGGAGAAGGAGTGGTGCTTGCACTTGCCTCACCTCCACTTCTGGGTGCTTTAGCCCAACCTGAACTATTTTAGTGCGACGATCGAGAGAAGCAGCAATTGCTCATATGATGTGTCACACCATAAACTTCAGGAAAGTAATTCATTCCAACAGTGTAATTCTAGGACTCAGGAACCAAAAATATGGGCTATTACTCATCTTTGTATCTCATAAAACAGAATAACCTAAACCATTTATCTGTTTACATAGCAGAGGTTTAGGGAAAGCAAAGTGTTGAATGTCAAGAGCCACTGTTGCTACATACTCGGAGTGATTACTTGCTTTATCATTTATTTTTTTAATCTCTGTGCCAATATTGGCCAAGAATTCGAGTCAGGAGATAGGCATGATGCAGAAACAAAGAGCCCCTACTTGAAACTTGGGAGAGCAGAGCTGAATCACTGGCATGTCTTGAGTAGGCTGTGAGAGCTCAAATGTGTTTGTTTTATGATTACCCAACATCTACAGTATTTTCTCTGCTGAATGCTTTTTCCTTCTGCATGAATGAAATTTCCAGGTGCATGCACACACATCTACCCTGCACAGGAGGCCGTGTGTGTTAAATGTGTCGGGGCACATTTGGTCTTCACTTGCCTCGGTCTAATTCAGGAAGAACTCAAAATCAGGGATATTTAGCTAAGTCAGCCCCGGAGTAACTGCCTGCAGAGTTTGATCCCTGGATCAAGCTGTTGCTGGAACAAATCTGTGTTTTCCACCTTTGTTAGCTGTGCTGGGGGGTCTCTTGTACCTGATGCAGAGAGTCTTGAAGGGGGAAGGATAGCTCGGAGTCGGGGTGAGTCTGAAAGTAGCTTTGCTTGTTGGCTGGGATGGGTGGGGTGCCTGACCAAGTGTCTGTCAAAATCAAGGAGAAAATTTGTCCTTAAGGCATAGAAAGTTAATTCTTTGTGATGGTGAAAAGGTCCTCAAGTAGTCACATAGTTGGCTCTGTCTTCTGGGTTCCGATGGTTGCCCTGAACCAGCTGAGCTCAGCCTGGGCAGCAGATGTGGACATGTGTCATAATGTGCCCTTTTTTATTTTGATCCATAAATTGGGGGTGACTTACCACTATGAATAACAGGTTGTTGCTCCATATTGTTAACATTCCATGTTTTGTGCCTAGTGGAAAATATTATTTTTTATATTATTTATTATTTATTTTTGCAGAGATGGTGGTGTGCTGCCAGTGCACAGTGTGGTATTTCATGTTTCTGTAACCCATGAAATTGTCTGTCCTCACCAGAGTAACTTGTGTGGTTTGCTGTCAAAATAACCCTTGCCAGCCTCTGTGCTCAGTTTTATCTTATTAGATGAAATAATGTACTAATTTAAGTCTGTTTCCTTGGTGAATCCACCTGAGGGCTTGAAAAATGATGAAGTTGAGCTCTGATTTACCTGCTGTTTTATCTGATGACTAAATGATCTTTCTTTAATATGACTAGTCAGGAATGTGGCTTCCAGGTGTTTGTGGTCCTGATGCTGCCCCGAGCTTCACCCAGGCAGTTGTCTGTGTGTGGTGTTCAGCCATATCTCTTTATCAGGGGTTTGTCATCAGCGTGATCTTTTCATAGCAGAAATGTATCCAGCTCATAACACGCTCAGCAATATTGGCTTCTGGCTCTTAGGACAGACTATGAAGCCCTAATTCCTGTAGTTTTACTCTTCAGTTCCTCTGCTGATAAAACTTGACTTTGATTCAAGGCGTTCGAGTCAAAGGGTTGGGGTCTGTTTTTGTTGTCATGTTTCCAGACCGCGCTTTTTGTGGCTTTTGTTCTCGACAGGAAAACCAAAATGTTCACTAATTTACCCTTTGCTTTGCTTGCAGAAAAAATAAAGGTAAGGCCAGTCAGAGAGGGAGCTGTTATGTCCTTGATGTGTGCTTGGCACTTTCTCAGGCTGGGAAGGAGGCCAGATAAATTATTCCAAACCTATCTCCCTATGGTAAAACCCACCAGGCTGCAGAGCTGTGGGTTGTCAGGATGTAGTTGGCCAGGGTGGGAGGAGAGTTTGCTGGGAGTAGTTGGTCTGTTGGCTGTGAGGAGGGATGTTGTGCAAGCTGGAGATAAAACCCAAGCCCCAGAGGCTTCTCTCTAAGTTGAGGGTAAATAAAACTGAAGTTTTCCCAATATTTGTTATTCCTGCTCATTGTAGGACTACTAAGGTAATGCAGGAACTCCTCCAAGGCCAAATCCAGGCAGACAGCAAAGATCTGGGTGCAGCATTTTTGTCCTTCCCCCTGAGGAGGTAGATGTGGCATTTTCTGTGTGTTTTATTTGACCTGTACCCGTGCAAACAAGACTCTTTCACATCATGTAAAAATCAGTATCCTGCAGGAATACCAGACAGCTGTCACTTGGGTGACAACAGGCAGAGAGCTCTGAGGAAATGAGACGCCCAGGAGGAGGATTTTGTGGTGCCTGTTGTCGCTGAGCTTGGCAAAAGCTGTTCAGGTTTTTTTCTGATGCAAATGACCTGGAAGATGACCTGCAGCACCCAAATGAAATAAGAAATCTCAATGAATACATATCTATCTATAAACACCTTCCACTGGACCAGGTTGCTCCAACCTGCCCTTGGACACTTCCAGGGCAGCCACAGCTTCTCTGGGCAACCTGTGCCGGGGCCTCCCCACCCTCACAGGGAAGAGTTTCTTCCTAATCTCTAATTTGAATTTACACTCTCAGACTGAAACCATTCCCCCTTATCCTGTCACTCCATGCACTTGTCCAAAGTCCCTGTCCAGCTCTCTTCAGAGAGAGAGAGAGAAAAAGAGGGAAAAAAAAACGTGCCACAAGAGTGGTTACCAAAATTATTTTGTTTTTCATAGTATGTTTTTCTCCTGCTTAATCATGCAAAGCTAATGCTTGACTATAGTCTAAGAAAATTGTCGTGGAAGCACATCATCTCAAGTTGCATATTCAAAGCCAGGAAAAGCTAAAAATGGCACTTAAAACCTGTAAACACTAGCTTGGAGGCTTTCTGAGTAAACAGCTAAAAGAAGTGCCCAGTGTTTGGTGTGCAAAGTGCTTGTGTGTAGATAGTGGGATTGTTTCCTCTGCTTTGTTACTTGTTTCCTTGCTGTAATTTTTGACTGTCATTGGACAAGGAAATAAAGGTCTGGTCAGTGGGGTTGGAAAAACATCTCTTTCTCTGACCTGTGCAGTTGTGCTTGAAACCGTGGTGTGTCAGCCGAGATGGACATCCTTTAAATTTCATTATTTTGAGGTTGTTTATACAAGGTTAAAGCAATAAATCACCCATATGACTGCTAACAGTCCCCCCACCCCCTGGTTTTTTTTCCTTAGGTGGCAGTGAAAGTCATTGACAAGAAAAGAGCCAAAAAGGACACCTATGTCACCAAGAACCTGCGACGGGAAGGGCAGATCCAGCAGATGATCCGCCACCCAAACATTGCTCAGCTGCTGGATATCCTGGAGACCGAAAACAGCTACTACCTTGTCATGGAGCTGTGCCCTGGGGGCAACTTGATGCACAAGATTTACGAGAAGAAGAGGCTCGAGGAGCACGAGGCGCGCAAATACATCCGGCAGCTCATCCTGGCGGTGGAACATCTCCACCGGGCAGGGGTGGTCCACAGGTAACCCTAAAGACCCTCCCTGGTGAGGGGAGCGATATTTTGGCCTTTTTTTTTGTATTGTCTTCACTTCCTCGTGAAAACATATTCCTGAGAGCTTTTTGGCTGCTCTTCACAGAGTTATTTAGATGCTTGTGTTTTAGACACGAGAAGGTATCTGCAGAAAGCACCTTAGCAAGTGTGTGGCTTCAAGTGGGCACACAGGAGACCTGCTGACTCCATGTCCAAGAGATGATCCTTGTGGGTCCCTTCCAGCTCAGGATATTCTGTGGTTCTGTGTCCATAGAGATAACCTGTGCATCCCAAAAGTAAAGGCCCTTTCCCTGCAAGCACTTGTTTTGCCTCTTCAGAGCTCTGGACCAGCGTGAGCTGGTGAATCATTTTGCTGTTTCTTTGAGAAGGTGGTTGTGGCTGTTGTTTTCCTGGTGGAAATACAGCGGTGTGGGGAGTTGGAAGATCACCTGGGCTCCAGGGGAAACAGGACTCATCCAAGAGGAGCCTGTGGAGGGCTGATGAATCAGGAGTAGCTGCCTCTGAAGTTCCTGAGCAAGCAGCAAGTGGAAGAGGCTGGGAGAGTGCAGGTGCAGGTATCACACGTGGTGCCTTTCTCCACTTAGTGCTCTTGGCTGCTATGGAGACAGGAGGGTGGTGGGCTGGATGGACCTTTGGTCCGAGCCAGTATATCTCCTCTCCTGTTCTTAGGTGTATTTATAGGGCACTGTGCTAAGAAGGAGGCTCTGCTTTCTAAATTTGGGCCAGCTGGTGTTAAGTCTAGACTCCCACACAGTTCCCATATGATGCTGAGCAAGTTGTGTAGGCCCCATCCTCTTAGGTTATGTAGGCAGGTTGTAGGAGCCAGACATCTGAATGCTTTTGAGGATCTGGGTCTTCATTTCCTTGGCTTTGCTGACTGTGTGGAGGATGGAGGGCTGTGCTCAGGGCCACTGTGCAGGCAGCTCCTCCAGCTGTGCCCAGCTGTGTGCTGAGCTGTGCAGCGTGGGTGCATCTGGCTTGGTGGAACTCCACATGCTCTGAAACCTGCTTTTTTTTTGTCTGGAGTCTTTGTCTATATTCCCTGTGATCCATCAGAGATAAGGTGCTATGTGCTATGTGCAGCCCAGGAGTGCTGAGGTCTTATCTCGAGCTAAATTTCAGGTACCCCTGTAATATAAACATTTGAGCAGCCACCAGGTCCATTCTGCAGGTTGTCTATGAGCCACAAGACTGCTGATCTCTTTAAATTATTAACCCCACAGTTTGGGGCATGGACAAGGAAGGAAATCTGTTTATTGCTTTAAGGGATCAATTGCTATCTGGTATTGAGAGAGAGAGATGAAGGAAATGAAGTTTCTGAGATGAGCAGAGGAAAACACGTCAGGAGCAGATGAACATGTTCAGCTTTTAACAGCAGGACTGAGTTCAGCAGCAGCAGTTCCTCTCCCTGAAAAATTTGTAGTGGCCAAGGCACTTAAGGGGGGTTGGTAGGCTTGGCTTTGATTCCTTTTTCTTACAGAGAGGATTCAAACCCACATTTTGTACAAAAATAGCTTGTTCCCTAAGTACATGCTGGAATCAACAGGCTGTTGTGGTGGGAAGGAAGGCAAGGCTTTGGGGCCCAAGGAGCCTGAGTTCCCATGCGGATGCTGCAGGTTTGGCCCTCACCCCTTCCCTCCCTGCTGTCTCTGAACAGCACAGCTCCCAGACCCTGGAGGGTGAGGGATATGAGTGAGCAGGGGGAGGAAGCAGCTCTGAGAGCTCTGCCATGCTCTGCTGTGTCTGGCAGCTGAGCTCTGCCCGCCCAGCCCTGTGGCACTGGTTTAATCCTTGCCCCAAAGGCAGCCACTCCATCCACTCTGGTTCTCAGCTCACAGCACAGAGCTGCTTCTTGGGAGCCTTCCACATGGTGAATGAGCAGGTCTAATTCTGCCTAAACTGATAAAATTTGACAGAATCACAGGCAATGTATCTGCAAGTATTTTCTCTGGCTTAACCCGTTCGATGTCTTGACCTGTTCTGCAAACCAAGCGTGTAGAGCAGTGTAGAGACGCAGGAGAAGCTCTGGTGGCGTGATCCAGATTTATTCTCCTGGCTCTCTGCAAGCAAGAGAGGAAGAAAGATTAATAATTACCCCAGGAGCTGTCCTTCAGCATCTCAGGCTTCTGACTGTGGCAGCTCTAAAAACAGACCACTCAACCAGCTACTGAAGAGTGGGGGGGAAAAAACAGTGATTCATTCTGTCCCTGGATGAAATGGCAGTGTTGTTGTTTATATTTTTAAAGCAGGTAAAAATACCAGCACTTTCATGTGCTTGGTGATCTGTGGGTGTTTGCATTCGCTGCGTGGGGAACAAACCTGGGCCAGAACTCGGGGCTGGTGTTTGTCTCTCCATATGATTTCACCATTCACTTTTTCACACTGAAAAGTGTTCCCTGGCTGTTTTGTTGCAAAAAGGTCATTAGGTTTGTCTGCATGATTCAGGGAATAATAGAGACGACTTACTCTGTTCTGTAACTTAGGATGGAAAAAACACCCAGATGAAATAAGTTGCATATAATTTGCTTACATTATTCCATGAATATTACTCAGAAAGCTTCATGGCTTGCAGTCTTGGCATGGCAGAAAAGCACTCTGATCTCTGGTCTTTGAACAAGTCCAGGGATCCAGAATTCAATGGAAATGCTTCTGTTAAGAGGCACTGATGTGCAAAAAGCCTAAAATTAAAGAACTTTAGGAAACCTCATTTTATTTAGAGATGTAAAAGTACCTCCAAACTCATGTTTGGCTGTATAGATGTGTTTAAAATTATAAATATTCATGTGCTAAGATGGATGAAGAAGTTCCTGAGTGCAGAAGCTGCATCTTTGGTGAGGGCTGTCCAGGGCTGAGAACTCCTTGGCTGCTTGCTGAAAGCAAAATGCCACAAGTCTATATATAATTTCATGTAATCATTTGTGTTTCGTTCCCTCTATCAGGAGGGTTGGCTGGTTGCTAAAAATATACTTGCAACAAGCTCAGCTGTGAATCAGGTAGGAATATTTATCTTTCCCTCTGACAGAGGAAAACAAACCCAAATGGCAGGATCTGGTAAAGCTTTCTCTTGGCAGAGGGTGTTTACACAGCCCTTCACGCTGTCAAAAAGCAGGATGAACAATAAGCCCTTAGGGAGCATAAGGACAGCAGAGAAAATGAAGTGAAAGCCTTGGTGCTTGCCACTGCATCCCACAGGAAATTCTCAACAACCCTTTTAAAGTCATTTTAACAAAACTCAATCCCATTCAGTACAATTACTGTCAGAATGTCAAAGAAAGGAATTTAACAATGTATTGGTGGCAAAGATAGCTTTCTGTGTTCCCCCTTTTTTCTGTCCTCCTGGCAGCATATTTGTACCTTCCACTGCCATTTGGTGATTAAAAGGAGATCAGGAGCTTGGAAGACACAAAAAAGGCCCTGAGGTTTTGAGCAGAGTAAGGTGATGCCATACAATCCAGATGCTCAGGGTGGCACAGGATTCCTGCTCTGGTACCTGCTCCTTTGACATATTGGCTTTGATAACTTCCATCCTATTAATTTTAAGTGCCAGATGCTGATGCAATATTTATGACAGATCCTGCACCACAGAACAAACTCCTCTTTTGAAGTGCAGAGCTGGTTTCTCTTTCTATTTTATGTCAGATTTCAAAATTACCTTTGGGCATTCTCTTGGAGTGCTCTGATGTAAACAAACTAAACATCATTTTAGTGAAGACAATAGACCGAATCCCTCTTTTACAGAGGCAGACACATGGAATTCAGGGATGTTACTGACAGAAGAATTGGGTTCAATAAGTGGTATTTTGATAACAAACCGTTTGAAATGTATATTGACATATAAATAAATAAATTTGAACCCAAATCTTACCTCTGGCTCCTGCACAGGGCTGCAGAATGGGCTTGTGGGTTGCTAGTTAAGGAGTGATTTTTTTTTTTTTTTTTTTTGCGGTGCTGTTGTGATTAAAAATAAGATGCAGGAGACTGCAGCCAACAACTTCTGCTTTGCAGCTGCTTGCTGGTAAAACCTTCCTTCTCATCCTTCCTCCCCCAGACAAGAAATAAAGTGTGAAATGTAAAACTCCTATTTGCAGCCTGCTGCCTGCCATGGCACAGAATATAAACTGCTTTTGGGACTACACTTGTGTTCCTCACTGGAGGCACTGGCTGGAGTTGAGGTTTCCAAAGTGGTCTGAGAAGCTCTAAGCAAAGCCAGGGATGAATCAGCCCCATCAACAAACTCCCAAATGAACTTATCCCATAAAGATTGTGTATTTTCAGACCCAGGGAATGTTACCTCTTTGCTGACAGCTTCACAGGCTGCAAAGGCATAAATATCTGCTGATTCTCCACACTGTGGGAATGCATTGAGTGTCTTCATTATTCCTAGATTTCACTAACTTGTGCCATAGTGAGACATTCTCAGCATCATGGAACTAACCCCTCAGGAAAAGGTAACGTTTCTTTGGTCCTCTTTTTTTTGAGGAGCTGTGACAGCAAGGAACAAGATCAGATTTACTTCAAGGAGGGAACTTGAAAGTGTCCAGAGTTGCTGCTTTGTTTGGATGTTAACATGATCTCATTGGAATGGACAAAGTCCCAAAAGTGGAGCCCTGAATTTCAGGCCCTGTATTACAAAGGGTTTAAAAAATAAAAGCAAACTAAGACAGCCAATGAAGGGTCTGGAGCACAAGTCTTATGAGCAACTCAGATAAGCCTCTCTTTGTAAAAGATAATTAAATTTTCTCTTTAGGTTGTATCAAGGAGTAAAAGCCTCGTGTCCTGGCTCCCGGTGTCACTCCATAAAACAGTGCTTTCATATTGGGATTGACAAAAAATATGGGGCATATGGACTATTAGATCAGTTACCACTCACTGGCAAATCTACTGAGAATAGACAGATGGGTAAACATCTTTAACCAGGGCTGACTGCACTCTATACTGGGCTGATATTTACATTGCTATTTTTTCCTCTAATAGCTTTAAAATGCCCTGTAATATTTACCTTTTTTTTTAATTTATTTTTTTTAACCTTGAATGCTTTTTTGAATATCTTGTCTCGTGTTCCTGACTAGTCCTCCTGTCTCTCAGTTGTTACTCTGATTACCTGCATGTCTTTTCTCCTCAACTTACAGCTTTCATCTTTCCATTCCCTTGTCTTTAAAGTCTTCTTCACTGATGTTTAATATACTCAGAGCTTCCAAATGGTCTTTGTCCTTGCTTTGAGACACTGCAATGTGTGACCCAAAGCTCCACGTGCTTCTCTTGATTTCAGTTTAAGTTTGGAGAAGGTCCTTGTGGTCACACTGGTAAAGTGAGTGTCGTCCTACCTCCAAGTCCTCTTCTGCCTCAGTTTTATTTGAAACATAGCATGAGCATGAAATGAAATGGAGAGGAGCAGTTCAGGAAAGGCTTGGAGTAGCTCATGGCTATTTCTTTCCTTCACAGATCCCTTCTTGTGGAAGTACTTAGCTGGGCTTGGTTGGTTTACTTGTCTTATTTTATTAAGCCTTATATCTTCATCTGGAGTACAGGCATCCTTCATCACTCCCTTTGCCTCACAGAGGCAAAATACCATGGATATCACTGACTTCCCATCATTACAGCTGATGGCTTTATCATCCAGGTTTTTCCGGAGCGTGCTGGGAGAAGCATCACTGCTGTGGATATCTCAGAAATATTTCATGTCTGGGAGGGGGGAAAAACTCCTGTGACAGAGATGTAGACTCTGTTTTTACCAGTACCAGTGCTGACTACCCCTGTGAAGAGTTTGGATGCTTCACCCTCAGAGCAGGTTGATTCTTCTCTCCCGTGTAGGCAAGGGCAGGGGACGGACATTTGACCCCTCACATCCCTGCAGAGGAAAGTTCATTCCTTCCAGTGGCCTTTGGTTGTGAAGAGCAAGGAGAAAGCGACCTCCCGTTCCAAAAACACGTGTTTGAAAGGTTTCCAGTCTGTGAGGTTTCTGCAAACTTTCTCAGTGTGTGAGAAGTCTGAAGAGCCTGCTTAATTGCAGGATGTACTGACAAACGTTTCTAAATGTTTCTAAAGTCGTTTTTGTGCCTGAAGAATAGGTGTGAAGCCGTGTGTGAAAGCTCTGTTAATTCTGGAGAGGGTGCACGGGGCTTTCTGCTTTGAATGTGGAACTGTGTGTGCTGCTTTCATTATGCAAGTTATTATACATGAGCCTTGTAAATACACTGATGAGAGCAAGGGAAAGCTGCTTCATTATTTTGGAGACTCACTCAAAATATTTTCTTTCTTTCAGAGACTTGAAGATAGAAAATCTGTTGCTGGATGAAGACAACAATATCAAGCTCATTGGTATGAAACCACTTTGGCAATTCCAGTAATTAAAATTGTTAGTTTTATGAAGAGAGGTTTTTTGAGACTTCATAATCCTCCATGTGACAATTGCTAATGTTGCTGCAGAGAGGAGCTGGGAGAGTATAGATAGCAATCAAGCTGTTCCTGACAGCATCTCCTGAAAAAAATGATCCAAATAATTCAGCTTTAACTGGGTATGGGCATAATCTTGCATCTTTAAACCACAGTTTTCATATTCAGCTTGGGAACTTTGTAGAGAATTCAAGAATTGACACCACAGAAGTAATTTATTTTATTATCCTGATCATTTCATATTTGCTAAGGGTTGGATCCTGCCCCCGTATGCATATGCTTCCTCTGAAGTCAGTGGGAGTTGAGCACATTTTTAGCAGCTGGCAAAATTTGGTCCTATATTTATATTTGTTAAATTTGCTTCCAGCACCCAGTGCGAAATTGGTTCGGAGGGCTGTTAAAAAATAAAAAAGATCAGCGATAGAGTCTTGGTTTGTGTTTAGGTATCAGCTGTACGTGGGGCTCGATTCATTCAAGCTGTGCAGACATTTTAGATTAATCATTGGTGGGTACAGTCTCTCACTGCCTTGCATAACTCCCATTAATGTTAATGTGGGCATTGAAAAGAAAATCTTCCCTTCATAAAATAAGCGCCCAACATCTGTTTATATTTATTTCCATGCCTACACTTTTGCCTGCAGCAGAGTCTGTGGCTGCAGACTTCAGAACTCAACCGACTTCCTTCAAAAGGTTTTGTGGACTGAAAAGTGATGAAAAACACTTGGCATTCGGGTCAAGTGGACACTCACTGACATAAAAAGCACGTGCATCTCCAGACAAATGAGAGGAGGATGGTTGATGAAATCTGAAATATTCAAAGTTTACTGGGAGAATTCAGTTTTTGAAAATGCTGCTCTGACTTTCGGTGATTATCCTGTAGCAAATCAGCCGAATCTGGGAAAATAACAGCAGAGAGAACTCTGCATTACCTCAGCCATGGGTCAAGAGGAGACTGAGATGTTGCCATGAATCATTCACCAGTAATGGTGGATACCACCCATTATCTTGATTTAGCAGATAAGTGAGACCAGATGGCTTGCAACAGTGCTGTGTGAGCATCTGATGGATTTAAAGAACTTCTGCAGCTTCCCTGTTATTGGGTGTTTGGTTACACAACAATATGTGAACTTGACATCCAGAGCAAGACCTAATCAGATGATACATGCACAGTTAAAACTCCTGTGCCAAAAAGAATGTACTTCACAACTGTTCCTGCAGTTTCATTGGCTTTGGTTGCATGGAAAGGTCTCCCTGCAGTGGGTGGTGTGGGAAGAATAGAGAAAAGAGATGGTTTGATCTTCTGTGGCCTCACTGAAGTTGAAATAGATTGTCCTCAGGTCTGCAGCCTGATGTTTTTAAGCAAAGCAGATTGCACACAGTATGTATTTTAAAACAAAGCAATTAAATCCCACCATCCAACTGGGTATGTTGTAGCAAAACAAAGGTAGTAGTAAATCTGCTGTAAGTAAAACCAGATTTAACACTGCAGCCAGCTCATGCTGTATCTCACCAGCAACGCTGGTTCTTGTAATAGCTGTGAAATGAAGAAAACCCACCATAAAGAGAGAAGAAAAGGTGAAATGAAGATTTGAAAGGTGCCAGGGGGTGACATTCAAAGTCCCTGCTTTTTCATGCATTTCAGTGGGAACTGAATGCCTCAAGTCCCTTTCTTCACCCAGCTGCTCAATGGCACCTGGATTTTGTTACTCTTTTTAGCTGTGTGACAAGGTAGTTTATGATGTGCTCTTACATATTCTTCTTAGAAAAGTTCCCTTTAAGAGGACTTATTCTTAGCAATCTGTTAATCAGACTGAAGAACATCAGGACTGGGAATGTTGGAAATGATTCACTTCTCTTCATCTCCCACCTCGTGCTGTGAAAAGCCACTCGCAGGCCACGCGAAGTCCTTGGTGTCCTGCTGGGGCACCTGTGACACTCAGCTCTGCTGGTCCATCTTGTCCAGGAGCTTCTGTCTAACAGCTCTTTCCCTGTTCTGGCTGCCACAGCTCCAGAGATGGCTGTGTATCCATGGATTACTGCTGATTTCCTGGAGGCGTTGCAGAGGAGTCGTGCGACGCGATACTCCGATAGCACGAACAGTGGGGGTGGGGGAGTTTCCATGTCATAATATTTACTTTGGAAAACCAAGGGTGGCCTTTGATCTGAATTCTGTAATTAGCTGGGCTTATTGAAAGGGAGCCCAAGGCAGAGGCAGGAATGGCAGTGGAATTACCAACGCTGGTGGTCACACCGTCCTTACCAAGCTCAGCAGCGCATCCTCAATAAAAAACACACTGTGATCACGATGTGCTGCCACAGTGTTAATAACAATATTCTCATTTCCAGGGCTATGAAATCCCTGTCCTCAAGATGCATTTGTTGGCACACATTCTGCATTTCAGCAGGCACTAGGGAGAAAAAAAGGTATGGCAGCTCAGATGAATGAGCTGTAGGGAGTGAATAAGATGTTTATAATTGAAGAGAAGGTGTTTATAAAAGAAGAGAATGAAAACCTCCACTGCCACTGATGAGGAGATGCTGATTTACACCATTTCAGAATGCAGCCCTTATGTACTTTGATTGCAAGACATTATAGTATAGAGAAGTAATATGGAGGGGGTATGACACTCTAGGGTAAAGACCAGCAATGGTGCTGTGTGGAGATATCATTTCTAGGAGTCTTTAAATGTATTTTACAGTTGACATAACTCATCTCGGGCCACAGCTAATGAATATGTTAATTAAGTTAATGGAGCCTCAATAGTATTTAGAAAAGCCCCAGGGATAATACATATCTAACAGAGGTGATTAAGCAGTGTCCAGAGACAATTGTTTTCCATCAGAGGCAAGGAAATTGTCTTGATTCCCCCTTCAGTGTTGACAGTGTTCTCCAGGAAAGCCCCTTGAGCCTCTTTACGTGTGAAATATGGTGATTCCTGTGTTCCCTGTGCTTGTCTGGCTCTCAGAGATGCAGCCAGTCGAGTGGAAAGCGCTGTGCTATCATTTGGGCACTCCAGCTCACACAGGCAGCCTGATAATTGCCTTTTTTTTTTTTTTTGGTAAGCATTTTTATATTTTTGCCTGGTTTTGTAAGGGAATAAGGCTTATGTGTCTGCCCTTTAATACCCTGAGGATTCCTGACTGATTTCCCCTTCCCTGCTAGCTCTCCTAATTGCTTTCTCCCAAGCCAACCGTGGCTGCCCCTGGGCAGGGTGGGTTTGCCCTCCCCTGGCTGCAGGTTGCCACCATCCACATCTGCCACCAGTGTGACCCTGATTCCTTTCCTTGCTTAGTGGTTATATTTTTAAGATCCTTCCCTAAGCCCAGCTCAGCCTGCAGAGCAGACAAGGGGAGATTTTGGGAACACCCTTCCCGGCGCCAGCCTGGTCTTGGGCTGCCTGAGAGCACTTGGGAAGCCTCAGCCTCCTCCTGCTGAGAGGCTCCCTCTGGTCTCCGGTGCCAGCCTGTGCCAGTCCCTTGTTGTTACTGCCAGCAAAAGAGTGGCAGATACTCCCAGAAATGCAACAATTCAAGGCAGAAGTCAGGGAGGGGGCAGCCAAGTCAAGACATTCCCCTTCTTGCTCCAGGACCTCCCTGTGTTATCTCAGAGCTGGAGCGCTGCCTCTCCACCCGTCGGAGCTCGTGCCTTGCCCAGAAAGTCATCCCCCCCCTTGCATCTGATGGCTCATTGACACGATTTAGAGGGAATGTTGAGGGAGTCCCACTTAAACTTGGCCTCTCCATAACATCCTGCAGCAGTGTGGAAGCCACAGCAGCCCTTGGTGGCCCTCTGCAAATCAGTGCCCGGGCCGAGCTCAGCTCTGGCTGTTGCCATCCAGTTCCCAGTGAAATGGAGTTGCTTTGTGTCTGAAGTTGATGACTGTGCATATTCTAAGACTTTTTTTTTCCTGTTTGTGGAAATCTCTGGTTATTTAGCACCTCGTAGAAACCAATTACATGAAATTTTTGCATGTGGATGAATTTTTGTTTTTCCTCGGGCAGTCCATTCCTTGGCTTTTGGAAAGAAAAAACGTTCTTTCTTTTTCACTTGTGTTCTAGGGCGGTCTGACTGTGGCTGTCTTTCATAACTCTGTCTCTGTGCCTTTCACAGACTTTGGATTGAGCAACTGTGCAGGCATCCTGGGTTATTCTGATCCCTTCAGCACCCAGTGTGGGAGCCCAGCATATGCAGCCCCTGAACTTCTGGCAAGGAAGAAATACGGGCCCAAAATAGACGTTTGGTCCATGTGAGTTACTTCTCTACTTTATAATTGTCACTGCAACGAGCAGGGACACCTTCAACTCCATCAGGGTGCTCAGAGCCCCATCTGACCTCACCTTGAGCGTTTCCAGAGATGGGGCATCAATAATGTAATAGTGTCAGGCCTTTAAGATGAAGTACAGTCTCTAAACACTAAGAATAAGGGTTTTTTCGTTGTTCCTGATCACTTTGGTTTCCTTTTCTCCCTGTTTTCTCCTAGTGGGGTGAACATGTATGCCATGTTGACTGGAACGCTGCCCTTTACCGTGGAGCCGTTCAGCTTGAGAGCCTTATACCAGAAGATGGTGGACAAAGAGATGAACCCTTTTCCCACCCAGCTCTCTTCAGGTAATCAAAGGAGTGTGTGGGACCTGATCAGATCCAGCTGGTCAGAGCCATTGCATGGAATGATTGTGGCTCCTGCTGCCAGTGTGTTGTGTTAATTGGGAAAAACACTTCCTTTCATTTTAGCCTCCGAAAGAACTGCAGGAGTTGCTGTAGTAGAACTCATTTTGCTCTGACTTCTGTATGGCAGCTGAAGAAACACCAAGTTGTGCTGAGTGTGAGAGAAGGGACAAACCTGTGGAATTCTGTGAAACTGCTTTTGTAGAGTAGTTGATCAGTTTTGCACTCTCAGATTTTAGTGTATGGATGGACAAACAGATTATTTTGGAGCAGCAGATTCCTGGGCATTACCATGACTAGGTTTGAGTGATAAACTGCCTCAAATGACCTCACATTAATTATGGAGTAGTAACAACATGCTCTCAGAAAGCTATTTTGGGACAGTGACCTGGGACAACCTTTATGTGTTCACAAAATGCAAAATTGTTGATGTGTTAGTATTAGAAATATTAATTCCTGCTTCAGAGCCGTGTCACTAGGCAACAGAATCATTTTTCAGCTTGTAGCAAGACCACTGTCAGCATTTGGAACGAGCTCTGTTTGGCAGTTGGGTTTTGTTTTCGTGTGCCAAATTGGTGGTTCGTGGAGAGCTTCTGTCTCCTTCCCTGGCAGCCTGTTTGCAAAGGACGTTCAGTAAAATGAAAAGATTGCAAGTGCAAAAAGGGCAGCTGAGGAAGGAAACCATTGTTACAGGGTGTGAGAGAAAGCCCTTGGGAGTTGTGTCACAAGATGAATTCTCCAAGCACAGATTTACCTGTGGAAGAAGTGGGGAGGGAAGGGTTTTATCACCTGGGTTTTATCCCTGTGTAACCTGTTGTTCCTTGTTCACTCAGCTCCTGTATGAAGGACCCTTTTCCTGCCAGCAGTTCATATTGTGGCATGTTGTAAAGTGGAGGGTTTATAAGTGAGCTGGGATGCTGCAGGTTTCTGTTTGGGGTTTTTGTTTGTTTGGGGGTTTCTGTTTGGTTTTTGTTTGGTTGGGTTTTGTTGGTGTTGGTTTTGTTTGTTTGCTTTTTGCTGTCTGTTTGGCGCAATTAGAGTGTTTGGAATTTCCACTCTGGACACTTCCCGTTAGGATTCAGTTGCACAAAATGGCTGTTTTAAGGCTCTAGCACATGCTTTAAAGCCCCACTGAATAAATTAAAAGAAAGATTACACTGACTGGTTCCTGCTGCACTTGTCTAGATGCCAGGTCCCGCGTCATTTGCAAAATTACCTTTGCATTCAGGGACTTGCATGGTATGGTCAACATATTCCAAGTTTGGCAAAAAATTTACTTCCTAGACTGAGGTAAATTATTTTACCAATAAAGAGCAGTTATATGATGGCTGTGGAGTGTCTTTGAACCAATGGACTGTTTCCCTAATCATTGTTTTCTTCCCATTCTCTTTTAAGTGGGACATTTTACTAACTTCACTGGGACAACTCAAGGCTGAACCACCCAGGAAAAGGCCTGTGGAAGGTGGAAGGCAAACACTGGGTAGCAAAAAAAGATAACGTTACTTTTCACAGGCTTCACTTTACTGTTTCATTCAGCCTCCCCTTTTTAATGGAAGTGAGATTTTCTCACCAATGCCTCTCTGTAGCATTTGTGGAGCTCACTGGACACTGGTCTCCAGGGAAAGCAGTATTTTGTTTATCCTGTGAGAACTTGGAGAGATGATGGCAAATTAATGGACTAGATTTAAGCATGTTAACCTTTCCTCACTGGGAACAAAGGTACACATCAGTTCCTGATCTGAGCCAGTGGCCTCGCACGTTCACTGACATGGCACACTCTGATTTAAGATGACATTTGTTCCTGCCACCATTAAGCATTGGGTCAGTGGGTAGAAACTCTGCTTCTCTGCTCTGTGAATTGTAGTGGTCGTTAACCTCTTGGGTTTATGGACCTTTTGCTTTAATCAGGTTTTATTTTTCCATAAAATTCATATATAGAGAGTTTTTACAGGAGTCTGTTTGGCTTGTTCAGTACATTGTCTTTCAATGTTTTTTTTCACAGTTACTGAACATGCAGACCCATCATGTAATAGTCAGTCTTATCACTAAGCAATAAAACACTTTTTTGTGTAAGTTAGAGTATTGGGTGACCGTGAGCACCCAAAGCAACCTGTGTAGCAACAGGGGAAGTTTGGAGTTACTGTTTGATTTTTCCCACTTAGGAAACCACAACAACACAGCTACCTGGTTACTGATTTTAGGTGAGCAGAGGTCATTTGCTCAGGAGGTTGGTATTCACCCTGCACACATTCCTTTCCTTCCCTCTTCCGTATGCTCATGTTCTTCCTTCTGGAACAGAGGAATTAAGTGGAGATGAGAAGAAAAGCTGTTGTTTATTCATGCCCGTGGTTTGGAGGAAGCATTTCATTAGGTGGGGCTTGTGGAATGACCTTGCTGCATTTTCTCCAGAGATATTTTTAGGCCATACCTGCATACCCAGTTACAACCAGGCACAGCCTCCCAGAGGGAACGAGACAGTGAGCTGGTTTCACTCATGACGGGGAACATGTTTGCTCATGTTTGCTCCCTGGGGCACTAATTTTGTCATCCCACAGCTATGTGGCTGACCTGGGAAAGGCTTCTCTCCTCCTTGTACCATCTGACAGCTCAAATCAGCCAAAGCCAGCACAGTTACTCATCTCCACCGTGTTTCCTGGGTCCAGGGAGCCTCCGGGGGGATCTTCTCTCCGGAATTAGTTTCTCCCAGTCTGAATCTGTTATCTGTGGTGCTTCACAAGCTTCATTTAATTAGCCTGCCTGTTGGCAGGGGTGGGGGTGGTGGTGAAGTAAGATATTTAAGGAGACATCAGGTGATTTGGGGGCTGAGTGTGGTGGTGGTGGTGAAGGAGGAGGGTGTTGGCTTGGGAAGGGGTGATTTGTTTTGCTCTGAGCCCATGGGATGTGTGTGGTTTCTAACACAGAGATAAGGGAACTACTGGAGCGAGAGATGAAGTGGAAGAACAAGGGGTTTGTTGTTTGCTGTAATGGGGATTTCCGTGCCCAGGAGGATGAGGAGGGGGCACTCCGGCACGCAGGGAACAGCTTCCAGCAAGTTTATGAACTTGGATGTAGACTTTTCCTGCTACTTTTCTGGAACATTGTTGTTGTAGGAAAATAGCAAAAATGTTGGGTAGTATTTGAATGCCCCTGAAAGCTAAAGGTTCAGCACCTGAAACCAAAATGAAAATTAATTTTGCTGTACTCTTAATTGGGCTGAAACCTTCTGCAACTGATTGTGGGCTGGATGGAAGCCAGGAGAGAATTTCTCCTCATAATGTCAAAGGGAGCCAAATTTGCCATGTCTTCCTTCCCAGCTCTGCATCCTTTCCCTTCCCCTCCACTCCCCCTGGTCCATCTCCTCCTGCTTTAAACACAGTGATTTCTCTCTGACCCTGCTCCAGCCTCTTGCTCTCACAAGGAAATCAAGTGTTGTCTCACCTGCTCCAAAACTTCAAACGAGCTCTGAGACAAAAAACCTTTTTCTCCTCTCCTTTATGACTCCATAAATCATTGTGACTATAAATCACTGTTTATTTTACTTACTAATGCCTTATCAGTACTTCCATTTTCCCAAGGACATCAGAGCACACTGTAAGGAAAACATTGCTTTTTAGTACACTCTTGGCCAGGCTACACACCTGTAGTAACTGCACTACTGTATAAGTCATAAAGCAGATGGCATAGCTATTGTTTGGGGTTTTTCCTTGCTTTCTTCCCAGCTGCCATAAACTTCCTACGATCTCTGCTGGAGCCAGACCCTGCAAAGAGACCAAACATCCAGCAGGCCCTGGCAAATCGATGGCTCAACGAGAATTACCCCGGAAGAGCACCACCAAATGTCACCTATCCAAACAGGTACTGCCTGGAAGGGAGGAGAAGGCCTGCCAGGGTGTCTGTACATCATGTATGTGAAAATGTGAACAGCTCTGGAGCTTCAGTTCCACTCCTGTGACACCATCCCAGTGCTTTTTCTGGGATTGCTTTTGTGACTCCATCATGAAAGTTGTTAGGATTGAGTAAAGTGTTGCTTGGAATGGTCAAAAGCAATACCTTAAATTAGAAGCTGGCATACAGTGTATTATTTGCAGGGTGGTCTGGGGTGCAGATCATGGGATTAATTGGCTCCAGACATGGGAATGGGGATGTGTGATGGGCAGTTTCTGATCTTCTTGTAATTCAGTAAAATCCAAGCTACTTTCCCCACAGAGGCTCTGCCTATTTGTGCTATATCCACAAGGTTCTGTGGTTTAAGTGAAAAGAAAGGTCAGAGTTAAGTGATCTTACCTTGTTGTTCATCTTGAACCTTGCTGAATACATGACTAAATGCAAGAAGAGAACAAATCTCACGGTCAGTGAAACATCGACCCAGGGAAAAAGAAAAAGAAGGAAAGATACTTGTGGTTCACTTTGGCGTTAGAAATAATCTTGTTTGACTTTAAACATGTGCAGAGCTGCCACATGAGCCAGCCAGGCAAGGCTCTCCTTGCAGTCAGTGCAGAGAAACAAGGGCGCTCTTTACATAAGGATTCATCTGTCTTCTCTTTGATTCTGCCTTAGGATGACTCTGTGCCCAGGAGACACCAGTTCCTCTCCAGTGACTGTAAATGGAGCCTCAGGCAACTCACTTGGAAATACAAGTCTGTGTTTGATCAGATAAAACCTCCTTGCTCTATCAAAGCCCTCCAGTTGTGCCTCATACACAGCCCAGTACCTGCAGCAGGTCAGGCAACACTGAGGCAAAGACAGCAAATTAAAGCCTAATTTTGGTGCTTAAAATTTGATAGTGCTCCAAAATTTCTGTCCTGACTTCAGTAAGAGGAGAGTCCCTCAGTGAAGATCATAATTTCCCCACACTCAGTTGTTACAAACCAGATGTAGTGTTTGCCTGGAGGTGTGATGACTTTTACCTGAACATGCTGTCCTCCGCCCAAAAAGGATTTGGTGTTCACCAGCCAGGCCATCTCTTTGCGTCTTTGACCTGAGGAGAATCACAGGTTTTGCACCCTCAAAGTTTGTGTTGGATGGGTGTTGAGCAGCTTGGATGCCAGGGGACATCACCAGGGCCATCCACTGAAACGGGGAGGGCACGTGTGGGGCCTGCGATGCCCAGACCTTCGTGGACAGAATGTAAAGGTGACCCCCACAAAGAATTGTTTCACGAGGAATGAGAGCAGGCAGAGCCCTTCTTTTGACATTCCTGCTGCAAATTTAAGAGCAGCTGGGTTAATTTGCCTAGTGTGGTGTTCAGCAAAAGGAGATCTGAGTGTCTGTCGTGCACTGGACTGTGCTGAGTGTGGTACATGTGAACGTTGTGTGGTAAAGAAAGGGAAAACAAGTGTAAACTGAATGAGTCATTAAGCTAATGAAATCACTGTCATAATGAGCCCAATCAATCCACTAAATGTGGCATCTGTTAAGTCAATGTAAGTGTAACAGAGACCTGGAGGGGTAATTTAATTCTCTGTCTGTTTGAGTCTTAGCTGCAGAAAAGAGGAAGAAATACAGAAGTAAGGCTTGAATGTGCTTTCACAATTCTTTTGCATTTGTAGGTGTGTTTTCACGCCTCTATTTTTAATTCCTGGTTTGCATTTGTCAGGCTTTTGTGAGGTTGTGGGTCCCTTCCAGAGTTTACTTATTGGTGCAGTGAGGTGGGCAACTTCTTCCCTTCTTTCTTTCTCATTACACTGATTTTCCCATCCTTTTGTCAGAAATTAAGAGGGAAGTAGATACTCCTTCTATCTGAACCCAGATTTCATTTGAAGCTGTAAAGGATAAAAGCCACAGAGATTCTTTCACTTCATTTTTTTGGTAATAATATTGCTTTAGTTTCATTAGTTGATGCCCCAAGCTTGACCTACCTAGACTTTGTCATACTGGAGCTTAATGGGGGAAATAATCTGTAAAGTTTGAAATACTTTAATATGTGGCCTGACTCCTTTTGAGTTTGCCTCAGGAAGTACCACTGAAGTCAGCTTCGATGGAATTTCTCCAAGTTTTCCTTAGTGTGCAGATATGGATAAGGTGTGTTGAAACAGTGTGCGAAAAATCCACTGCTGAATTTGCAAATAATCAGTTCCTCTTAATCAACACAGAAGAAGCTGTGTTACGTTCTTGCACTATTCTGGGCATAACACCCATTGTTCCAAAGACAGGAACGTGGTAGGAAAGGGAAGAACATGGAGATAAGGTGGAAGAACGGCAAAAACTGCATTTTCAGGAGAATATTCTCCCAGGCTTTTTATAAGCTTGCTTTTGTTAAAGAAATTCCCTGGAGGCAAGCAAAAATTTCCCGTTTTGCTGAGCACTTCAAGTGGAAATTGCTTGAATTTCTTTTGCTGTACAGATGTCTCAACGTGCAATGGCCAAGATAAGTTTTGCTTTTGAACTTGAAAAAAACCCAACCCCAAGCATTTCTTTGGGGGCAGAAAGACTGTTAATAAGCAAGGGGAACAAAGGGAAAGAGTTGTTTGAGATTTTCCAGACTGGGGGTTTTTTTCTGTTAAACGCTGTTTTACATCTTGTTTAAGTGCTGCAGATCAGACACAGGCTGCTGTCTGGGCATTCCTCACAGCACAGGTGCACAGGGCAGGAGTGGGAAAGCTGGGAGTGATCCTTTGGGAGGGGGAAGGCAGCTGGCAAAAATGCCCACAGCCTAAGTTCCCCCACTGTGCCTTAGCCAGATACTAGGCTTTATATTAGGAGCAAGGAATATCCTTTAGAAATCAAGTGAAACCCAGCATTTCTTTGGAGATGGATGGGAGTTGACAGGTACATCTGGGAATCTGGCCAGCACACTTAGAGGCCTAAATAGGAGCAGTGTTCTTTGGAAAATCTGGTTTTAACTTAGACCGAGATGATGCTTTGCCATTTCCACTCCATTTCTCGCCTTGGCTGAGCCTGTTACAGACTCTATAGAAGAGCAGATACATAAACATGGCTTGGATGCGTGCTTTTAACTGACAGGGGTATAACAGCAGTGTTACCACTCTGAGACCTGCTGCAATAACCCTGCACATCCCCCTTTTCCAGCAGGAAATTCCCTCTCTTACTCAGAGCACGGATATTGTGCGACAGGTAAGGCGTGAAGCTGAATGCCAGGGTTGTTTGATTGCAAGGAGAGGGACTTTTCAGGGAGCCATCTGGGTTGGAGTTGACCTCTTTTCCTTCAAAATCAATTGGATACCGTGATTCTGTGATAATCTTGATGGTCCTCACTGGTCGGGTGTAGGGTAACAAACGGCACATCCTGAGCACCACGGTGCCCTTTCATACCAGGGATGGACACGGTGGGCAGAGTCCTGTTTGTTCAGCTATCACAGCTTCCTGCAATGCCAGTGGTTCCCAAAAAGCCTGTCCTTTTAATGGGAAGAGAGAGATAATCACTCCCACGTCCCTGAGCCCCTCAGGCTGTGCCTGGTCCCCCCTCGAGGCTCCATCGCCTCTGAGGCTCCGTCACCGGCAGGATGGTTCCAATGCCAGGATGGTTCCAACACCAGGACGGCTCCAGCGCGGTGCTCTGCCTCTCTCCCCGTGCAGGATTCACCTGGAGGACCTCAGCCAGAGTGTGCTGCTCCACATGACTGAGAAGCTGGGCTACAAGAACAGCGATGTCATCAACACCGTGCTCTCCAACAGGGCCAGCCACACGCTCGCCATCTACTTCCTGCTCAATAAGAAGCTGGAGCGTTACCTGGCCAGCCTGAGGGTGAGCCCTGCTTCTTTCTGGTTCTCTACACGAGTGGCTGATCAGGGGGGAAAAAAGGCCCGAAAGTTTCCCTGCTTCCTGGGAAACCCAAGGCTTCACCCGAGTTTTGGGGTGGGGATTTTTTTCCTTATTTTGTAGCACGAAGGGGAAGTATTCCCCAAATTATTAACATTATTCCAAGTAAAAATTCCCCAGGTTGCAAAGGTAATTGCTGATAGGCTTTGTGTCTCCCTGTTTCCATAGGAGATCCCCTCCTGCAGGGCAGTTACCCTGCAGGAAGCAAACTGTTGCCATGCAGAGCCTTACGTGTCCATTGTAATTCTGTGATTGTGATGTGCTGTGTCCCTGTGTCAGCATAGTTCTGTTGCTTGAAATATCAATAACACCGTGTAACTTGATTCAGGAGATCAGGAGGAAGCTTAAGAGCTTATTAAGGTTTTATTTAGCATTTAAGTGAAAACTTAGCTGAAAGTTTGACGTGATCTGACCTCCTGCTGACCTTCCTGGCCCCTGAGTATGTCCTGGGCCTTCCAGTTTGACAACAGCTTCTTAATTTTTTATCTTTCTCAGTTCTTTTCACGAGAATGTTTTCTTGATGATGCCACCAGTGGCATTTAAAATGTGGTGGATCAAAATCATCAGCTCTGTAAGTTGATGCTCCTCCACTGAATGCCAAGAGTGGATACAGTACATTAAGCAATAACTGAACATTAATTTTCTCTAATTGTCCCACATATTTTACTTTTCTGTGCTTTTCTCTCCACAGAAGGCTGAAGGCCAGGACAATGTTTTCCACAAGAACCAGCTCTACCAGATAGAAAAATACAAGGCAAATAAAGACTCCTATGAGGTAAAGCTCAACAAAGCTTGTTAAAGTGCTTTGAAAACATATTGAATTTGAGCATCCTTGGTGATTGCGATCAAGGTGATGGATTTGTGGACCTGTGGAGAAAAATAAAGACCCATGGTCATTCCTGTGCAGGACAAATAATTCCCTCAATTCCTTTTCAAAGGAACAAATAGCAACCCTCTAGAGTAGAAGTGTAAAGGTGACTTTGAGTTTTTTTGAAGAAATTAAAAGGTTTTAAGGCTCTGTTCAGCAAAATAATGTGAACTTAATCATAGGGCTCCATAGTTTCATTCTGAGGTGCAAGTTGCTGGTGTTATAACATCAGAACTGTGTCTTCTTGAGACTCTCCTTGAGTCTTAAGACCTTGGTGGTGTAGGGCAGAGAACTCTGGTCTCCAGCCTTTCTGCCTGTGAGTGGAGAAGGTATTTTTTATTAAACCATGGCTGGATTTTTCTTCCCTGGCTGATTCTTTGCCAAGCACTAAAATTACAAGAGTAATCTGAGCTGTGCAAGTCTTCCCTGCCAACACAAAGAGCAGCATTCTTGAGGAGTCTGCCTGCTTCAAAAGCTGCTCCTCAGCTCTGGATTGATGATCTAATTGCAGGGGCAGATTTGTGTCGTGGCTGGGTTTGTTTGTCACAAAGACTCCTTGCAAGACAAGCTGAGCTGCAAGCCATGGAAATAGCAGGGCAAAGTACTTACTCTTTTCTTACATCAATCAAAACCATCTTATTTAAAATGTATCGGTAGTGGGTAGACTCAATGAATATAATAGTTCACAATGCTCTGACAGCTTATTCAAGCTGTTGCAGAGCAGCCTTTCCCTGGAAACACAGGCAGGTACCGGGATGCTGCATGGAGCATCTCGCTGCTCCCTGGGCTGGCTTCCTCCTGCTGCTGGTGCCACTTCTCTGTGCCAGGGATGGCTCTGCCAGCCATCCAGGAATGAGCTCATGGCTTCTGTGCACTGACCCTGTGCAGGGGAGGCTGCAGCAGGGCCTGCCTGGAGCCGATGTTTGAGTTCCCTAAGGATAACTGGAAACCAACGGCAGTGCTGGTATTTGGCCCCAGTTTGGTTTGTGGGCATGCTTAGGGATAAAACTCCTTCCAAAGCCTCTCCTGCACTCAGAGTTAGTCCCAGGGTAGCTATTTAGAGGATGAGGGGGTGTCATGTCTTTCTTGAAATAGTCATCAGGATGTACTCACAGTGCAGACTCTGCAATAATAATAACACAGTCTGTTCTCTTTCTGCATGGGCACAGCTGAGGATAGAAGTGTTCAGGGCCAGCTTGGACAGGGCTTGGAGCAACCTGGTCTAGTGGAAAGTGTCCCTTCCCATGGCAGGGGGTGGCACTGGATGATCTTTAAGGTCCCTTCCAACCCAAACCAGTGATTGTACAATGTTTTCTATTGCTTCAGCTATATTTCCATGAGTGGATTATGTGATTCTTACTGTACCAGGACAAGTGGAGCTGCACAGGGAGGGTAATGCAGGTGCTGGGCTGCTACTGCCATTTATATCTAAGGTAGAAACTCCCCTAGAATGCCTTCATGTGGGTGAGAACACAGCCCTGGCAGTGCCCAGCTCATGCCACTGGGATCAGTGGGTACCACCAGCACTCAGGGGCAGGGGATTTGTAAGCTCAGGAAGTTTCATGAGCTAGAGAGAGAGAGTCCCTTTATCCCTCCCTGCCATTGCCAGAGTGGGAACTGGGAGGCACTGGTCCCCTGGCAGGCACTGCACAAGAGCAGAGCTGTGTGTTGCCATGGGAATAGCAGGGAGAGGGATGGGAGGGATGGTCAGCAACGGCTCCCGCTGAGGACTCTTTTATCCACCTCACTCCAGGGGTGTGAAATAAGGACTTGGCCCCAGGCAGGGGCTGCCAGCAGCTGGGGCAGGCAGGGGGCATGGGGGCAATGGTCATGCCAAGCCCCTGTTCTCCATTAGGGTTTTTTGGGGTGCTAGGAGCTGCTGGCAGTGCCAAGGAACCAGGCTGTTGCAGGCTGGTTTCACTGGAGCGCTCAGCATGGACAGGGAGGAGGGAGGCAGGCAGGAGTCTGTGTCTCTCTCTCCATCTCTCTTTTAGTGGGAGAGGTCTCAGGGGATGAGTGGCTGTCCCTCCAGAGCACCCAGGGGAGCAGGCAGGGGGTACCTGCCTCCCCCAGGGCAGCTGGGGGGCTCAGACACGGGGAATGTGCAGTTTTTAGGAGCTTGTGTCACTGCCCTATCACCATTTCAGACATGGCCAAGGCAAACACCCTTTATCTGTCTTTCAAATTCATTGCTGGGACTAAGGGTAGGTTTGAGGGTCGAGGTCAGGACAGGAAATAGCAGAGGATGATGTAATTCCCAACCTATCAAGTATAAAGTACCGGTACAAGTCCTGCATTGTGGGGCAGCATGACATGGCCAAGCAAACTTTTGTAACTCGCCCGAATGAAATCTTCCCTCCCTTTTAAAATAGAATAGTGTGTGACACTATTGGGATTCGGTCATTTCCCCTCTTACAGCCTTGGTCATTAAGGAGCAACGTTAATAGTTTTAAAAACACTTCTAAGACCATTTGCAGTGTTCATCCAGTGTGAACTAATTAATTGCTAACACCGGATATGTGAGTTTTCTTTGCTGTGGGTGCTTTAATTGTGTGGGGTGGCTGAGAAAACACACCAGCAGGGTGAAGGCCACTGACTATATTGTGGCAGGTTATTCTCACAGAAATATTATTATTAATATCATCATCATCATTGCTGTTGCTACTCCTTTATCCTCATCAGGAGTGACTGTGCAATGCCTGGGCCTGATCCAACACTATGTTGCTCCAAGCACAGTGTGGCCAGGCAGGAATAAATGCTTGGTGCCAGAGGTGTTTACAGCCTCTAAAGGCACCAAAGGCATCGGGTGGATGAAGGTGTCATGCAGAGTGACAACAGTTCTGTGATGTGCTCATGGCTATGGAGGGGTCAGCCAGCTTTAGCTTTAGCTGGCCAAAGGGAAGGGAACTGGAGGAAATAAAGGATGGAAACACATAACTGGGGGAAGGAACTTTCCTGCATTTTTTAAAAAAGACTTGTACTCACAGTGACTTTTTAATAAGACACAGCAAAACATGTTGCTTAAATGAAAATTATGACCACAGGAAAAAGCCCCTCTTCTTTGAGAGGGATGTCTCAAACCACACCACACTGCTCTGTCCCAGAAAGGCAAGAGATCCTTGAAGCTTTTCAGGGGTAGCAAAATAAAGCTACAAATTTGATGCCTGAATTTTTGGACGTGAAATAAGACTTTTGGCTCCCCCAGAAATCAGTGGCAGGTAAGGGGTGTTGTGCTGAATGCAGTGATGGAAAGAAAAGGCAGTGAATTTTCACTGTAAAACTGTGCTTTGAAAATTGGATTCCTTTTCAGAATCCTACTCCCAGGTTCTGTTTTTCCTCTGTCATGACTGGAGATCAAACCTATATAGGATATGTGCTCTTGCACTCCCACCTTCAGCTCTTCTCCTTCATGATTAGGAGTTACGGCTCAGAGAAGGCTTGGGCCAGGAATTTTCTCCCCCTCCATGTCTTGTGCAGTTGCAGAGATGCTGTAAAATCAAGGGCCATATTCCTCCAGATCTTGTCTGGACAGAAAATAAATTATTTAAAGAGTTTAAACTTATTTAAAGCTCAGCAGCTCACCTTTTTAAATGTCAGAGGAAGTGGAATAAGGAGAAATCAAAGCCTTTTTTTGGTGCTTAAAATAGGGTATTTCAGGTATGGAGGAGCACACACCTGTATCTGCTTCCTCCAGATATGACAAATGTCCTCTGAAGAGAAAACTTCCCTTTTCCTTTAATTTTCCAAAGCCGTCTTTCTCACTGCCCGGATGTCAGAGCAGATGGGAGCCATGAAATCGTGTCAGAGAAAAATGAGACGTGGAAGATTTAGTTATTCTGGGTAGTCAGGATAAGTTCCTTGTAAATGTGAAGTTCTTAATCCAGCTTGGGTAAGCGGAGTGCTTGTGCCTCACTGAACCTTCCCTTGAGTAAACCCAACTGTTCTTGTTTGTTTTACAACTTAAAGGACAAAAAACCCAAAGAACGAGAAAAGAAAGGGGAGATTCTTCACCGTCAGCCCCCAGAGAAAACTGAGAAAAGTCCAGTTTCATATAGACAGCCTTCTTCCTGTCTTGTCTCACAGATCCAGAACACCAAGGCTCTGCTGAAGGACCGGAAAGGTGCCAAGGCCGGGGCTCCTGAGAAAGGTCAGTGGGAGAAGCGCCTGTGGTGCATCCCTGTGAGCATGTTAATGAGTGTTAATGAGCCTGTCCTGTGTGTGTTGTGTGTTTGTGAGTAAAAATGGGCTTGCGCTGCTGTCAGCTCAGGAACTGGTATGGGAAAGGACTGGATAATGTCATCAAACATGGAGCAAAACATCCTGAACGATGCTCAGCAGTCATGAGCCCTCACTTTTACTTCTCCTCGTGTTTGACAGTGCTTTAAAAAAAGCTTTCTTTTTTACACCAAATCATCTGCACTCACACTGGTGTTTTGAAAGCATCAACACCCACCCCAGATCACTGACAAACCAGAGCTGGTAGACAAGCTTCTTCCTACCAGAGAATGTGTTTTCCTGAGAGGGGGCTGAGGAGCAGCACGGAGAATCCCTGACCCTGAGGATGTGCCAGTAGCAGTGGCATCCCTGAGAGAAGCAGTGGGCAGCAGCTGATGATGGAGAAAGGGGAAAGGCAGGTGGGACTGGCAAGCTCAGCACATTTCAGGCAGCAAAAGGAGGGGGAAAAAAACATGAACAGGGAAAGGAAAAGACATGACAGCCAGAGGAGATCATTAATCACACAGGGTGGGAGGGATGGGTGAGAGCTCCTGGCAAAAGGAGGTGGGAGAAAGGAGTAGAGGGAAAGGGGAGTGTTGGTAGTGCACACATGGATGGGAGACCTTGAGGAGCAGGAAGGGGGATATGGCTGGTTGTTAAATAAGGAACTAAATAAGGGGTGATCACTACAGAGCAGTGTGGGGAAATAGAGTGATGTAAAGCATCTGCTGTGGTGTCAGGGGGTTATTTAGAGTGGTGGCTCATGGTGGTTTCATGTTCGTCCTCATGACTTCATAATTCATCATTTGGTGCTGTCACCCTGAAAAAAAAATAGGTCCAAATGGTGTTTTTGTGGCAGCAGAGGCACCTCTGCTGCAAGGTAGCAGGAGTCCAGAGAGCTGGTCAGAAATGGGACATACTTCCTGTAAAAAATGTAAAAAAAAAAAAAAAAAAAGCCCATTTTGCTCCCATTTGTTGTCCCTTTTGGGAGGAAGGCATAGGGGGAAGTCAACTTATTAGGTTTTGTTCCTCTTTAGGTTTCTCCCTGCTTTTTTGATCTGAAACCCGAAAATCATTCAGATCTCAGATAAAGCATTTCTTTTCTAGAAACCATATTTTGACACATCTTAAATGAAATGGTCAAATAATTTTGACTGGTTTTAGAAAGAAACTGGTCAGATTAACCTTGGTCTGCTTTTGCCAGACAACTCTGAGTGTGAGATTCCATCTTCATCCATTCAGGTCTCAACCCCTGATGAGACCATCCCTTCACAGGAAATACGTGTGAGATTTGTGGCTGTGACCTGAGGGCTGGCAGACCTAAATTATTTGAGGTACCTTTTAGGTGGTTTGAGGGAACTCACAGACAGTGATTAACTGCTGGTTAATTCAATTAGAGGGACCTGGCAATCAGGCTCCTTGGACAGCTTTCCATAAAGGCAGCAAAACGTGCTTGGCATGAGCCAGTGCCAGCATCCTGTAGAAACTGAGCAGATCTTCTCCACAAGCTGCTTTGTTTTACTGGGCCAAATCCTGCAAAGATTTTTCCATTTATTTTCAGTCCTTGCTGGAGGAAGGTTCTTGCTGAAGTCGTTGCAGCAAATCTGTTCCAACTCTAACAGCCTGAATCTGGCCAGTGCAGCTACTCCATATTTACATGTGTGAAACCAAGAGCAGATTCTGTTCCAAAATGCGAGGAAGACACCAGGGATTAACTCACTGTGTCTCTAGGTATGGCAGTGAATACAGGACAAAGATCCAGTAAGAGCCAGGCAAAGTTGTGCTAAGAGAGGAGAAACGTGAGGTTTGTCAGGCGTGGCCTTAGAGGATATAATTAATACAAACAGCTGAAGACACCTGTGGTTTTCCTTTTCAAGTCCTTGTCCCACTCAGTTTAAGCTCTCCTGCTGCCTTTGAGGGAGGTGGCAGATGAATTTCCAGTGGAACAACAGCATAAGTATTGAGTGAGGGTCAGGGAATTGGGTTCTGAGTGTGTCCCTAAGTCAGGCAATGAGGTTCTGAGTATGTGTCCCCAAGAGCTTGTGGTGGCTGGTGCATGTCAGGCTCCTGTGGAGTGTGTCCCAGGGGATGTGGGACCTGCCTGCCAGGGAAGGCAGTGCCGGTGACTCCAACCCGCTCTCCTGGTTCCCTCTCCGATTGCTTTGCAGACTCCAGCGGAGGGGTGAGCCCTTTCCACGAACCCCTGGCGACCAAGACAGGCTGTGTCACTTCCAGCTCCCTGGAGTACCTCGAGGTCCAGCAGCCACCCCCCAGGACCCCTCGGCTCCTCAAGAGGCAGGAATCTCCCCCGCAGCAGGAGCCGGCCCGGAGCGGGGGCCGAGCCAAGGACTCCCCCCTCATCCTCAACATTGTGCACTCCTTCGAGTCAGTTGACAGAGAGGACCAAATAGACCAGGTTTCCCCCTCTCACCAGTACAGAATTTTAGGCTCCCCAATGAATTTCCCCTACAAAAGCTCCAGTGAAAGGACACTGTCCCCACTTTTCCCCCCGGGGAGCACGTCCCCCGTCCACCCCACCCAGGTCTCTTTCACCTACGAGGAGAAAGTGTATCCAGCGAAGGAAGAAGCCGTGTCCCCCACCCAGCTGGTGTCCAACAACCCCCTGGGCAGCCCCAACTGTGTGAAAAGCAGGGGCAGGTTCCCCATGATGGGGATCGGACAGATGCTGAGGAAGAGGAGCCAGACGATGCAGTCGGCCAGCGAGAAGCCGCTGGAGGCCAGGATGCCTCAGCTGCAGCAGATGAGCCCCACCCAGATTTCCTTCAGCACAGCAGATGCTGTCAGCGGCCAGTGTTAGCCTGACATCCTGGGATTTTCTCTGCTCTGCTCTGGGATCTCACCTTTTTCCACTTTAAACAAGAAGGGAAAGCCACAGGCATGTTACTGTCGCTGCGGAACACACCACAGTGCTCCAGCAGGAAACCAGAGGTTTGCTCGTAAGGAAGGCGTTGTCCTACATATTGAAGTTGAAAGAAAAGGGCTCTGCTCCTGCTGTTAAGAAATATTAGCATTTGGCACCCGACTGTACAGTAAAACATGTCCTGAAAGAGCCACGTGAGTGTGTATTTTCACAGCTCTCACCTGGTGTTGCAGCAGGGCTGGTTGGAGGCGCCGAGGGTTTGGTTTCCTCAAGGTGATCTGTGTGGTGCCAGGAATGCCAGTTCCGTCCAGGATCTGTGGTAAGACTGTCCCTGCTCCTCCTGCCTGTGGCACTACTCAGGCATTGGTCACGGGGTGGGCAAGAGGAGAAACTCCAGGTACTCTGTCCAAAGTCAGCTCGCTTACGAGCACTGCCGAGGAGATGAAGGTGCTTTGAGCTTGAATGAAGACACAAGTGATTTAAACGTTCAGAAAAAGTGGGAATGGTGGAAGTCAAAGCAGATTTTACTGTTGGTTGCATAAAGGAGCTAAAAACAGAATAATTTTTTTCCCTAAAAATCCCCACTGATTTAATCACCTCACTCACAAGAAAGAGGATTGTTTAAAAACAAGTGTTGTCATGTGGAAATTCACCTCACTAAAGGCCTGTTCCTTTCATATGATGGGTCTGCAAGAAGATGCTTCAAACAGAAATCCAGATTGCAGAAGGCTGTGTTTGAACAACCCAGCCCACACCTGCAGTAGTCCCTATTACAGCAAGGCAGCTTTGGACACACCTGAAGGCTTCTCTGAGAGACTGCAGTGAATTAAAATGGCTAATAAAGGACACATGAACCTGTACCAAGGTTGTTTTATACTCCAGGATTGGTAATGCAGTGGTTACCAAAAATTGGGTGTTATTATGAGCAGTGAAAATTAACTTTCTTAAGAGACACCATGTCCTGTGTACTGGTCATGTTTTTCTAAGTAAACAATACATCTGAGAGGTTGGCAACATTTTTTTTGGTTCTGTTTTTGTCTTCAACCCCATTACCTATAAATTAGAAGGTTTAGCCCTATTTACAACCATATTTTTGCAAACAATTTTGTTGCCCCCTTGGTTTGGTGTCCAGGCAAATGCTGAGAGTGAGAGTTACCCCTGTTTGAGGTGTTTTCCTTCCAGTTTCATGAGTAAGATGTTCAGGGGCTGCGGCAGAGGAAAGGGAGGAGGTCCCCAGCAGATCCCACAGCTGAGCATGTGTTCCTGGTTTGCAGCATAACACGGGTCTTACACCAAAGTCTGCATCCCAAAAGGATGAGAAAGACAGCCCTGAAATAATTTTATTCATTTTCACATCAAAAAATGTTGTATTCTGTTTGTACAGAGCACCTGTGTATCCCAGGGGGGTCCATTTTAGCTCTTTTCATTTAGAAATGTCAAAGCATTGTCATTTCTTTCATGCTATATATAAGAACATATCTGTGCTGCCAAGGCAGCGAGCAGGGACCACTGAGATCAGGGACCACTGAAATCCCACCTTTTTTGTGTGCCAGACTCACATACCTGAACAGATGGCAGATGCTGACTTGAATTGCAAACTCAGGTTTATTTGGAACCCAATAAAAAGGTTGGGGGAGGCAGGAAAGAGACCCGTATTTTTTGTGAAGACCCAGTAAATATGTGTAAGAATCAGAATGAAAGCAAATGTTAAATCTTTTATTATATTTATAGAGAATATATGAGTACTACACTGCTAAAACATAACCATGTATCCAGCGTAGACAGTAGCTCTGTACAGTCCAACTGCAGTGACCACAGAAGGGACTTCCTGAAATGCCACAGTGGAAATTCCAGGGGGAAAAACTGTATTTGGTATCATTATTAAATACATGTACTTTTTGGACAAGATTGCCATGGACTGCCGACTCTGTTTGCCAGGTCACTGTGTAAAAAAGGATAATCTCAGCACAAAAAACCTCCAGGCCAGGTTGGACAGGGCTTGGAGCAACCTGGTGTAGTGGAAGGTATCCCTGCCCATGGCATGTGTGGAAACTGGAGATTTAAGGTCCCTTCCAACCCAAATCATGTGTGATTCCATGAAAACAAGCAGCAGAAGGGTGAGGAGAGGAAAGGATTGGCAGCACCTATCCCTTCACCCATCCAGGTGTATCCTTTGCACCTGGCTGCTGCCCACCCTCTGCAGCTTGTGCAGCCACTCTGGGCATTATCCAGCCTCTGTGACCAGTGGAGCCTGGTAGGAATGTCCAGCTCTTCCTGCCTTGAAGCAGAGATCCAAAAGGATGGCACTGAATTTCTCCTGAGTGCTGCCTCGCCGTGTCCAGAGGGGAGGGAGCGAAGCTGTTCCTGTAAGTACCGTTTTTTCCTCCTCCTGCCTTCATGCAAATCTGTTTCCAGAACAACTGATCCAGAGACCTCCATGATCAGCTGAGCTCTTTTTGTGGTGTTTGCCAGAGGTTTGGCACCGAGCCCATAACAGACCTGTTTGATAGAGCTGAAAATACACCTTTTTACACTTCAGACTGTGCATCAGGGAAGGAGCAGTGCTGAGCTTTGGGTGCGAGAGGGAAGCGCCTCTGCGGGGCCTCTCTGAGTGCAGAACCCAGTGGAGTTAATGGAGCAGCTGTGAAACACTTGGAAGAGGGTTTTGCAAACTAACTGATGGCTGGGCAGCAGTTCAGGATCTGTAGTGGTAGAAGTGTTTTTGTTCAAGCTCTTCTGCCTGGAAAAACAGGTGTTGAATTTATTCAGGGAGAAGGAACAGAAATCAGCAGCTGTTCCTAAAGGTGTTGGTCTTTGTGTCTTTGTACTTCTCCTGTAAATGGGCTGCTGAATATTAAAATTCCTGAGTGTAGAGGTTTACAAATCCTAAAAGTAAATAACAGTTACTTTCTTGCTTTTGCACTTGACATCACTTGATCTTTGCAATAAAATCCCTTGGTGTGCAGCTGGAAACGGGCTGGGTCGGGTTTGCAGGAGACTTTTCAGTCCCCAATGCACCAGGAAAATGGTTTGTCAGCGAGTCCCCGGAAAAATGGGATGGAGAAAAACCTCCATCCCAAGAGGAACCTGGCCCTCTATTTGCTCCTTTGTAATGCAGCTTTAAACTTCGCTGTTTGAAGCACCCAAAGCTCATTACAGGCTGTGCTTATCACAAAGTGAGCAGGAACTTCAGGGACATTATTGCTGTGTGCAGGAGTTTGGGTTTTCCCTGGCTTTTCCCTGGTTTTTTAATCCTCTGTGGCCAAAAATAGACAGTTTTCTCTTTTGTATCCCAGCCCCACATCGGTGTGGGGCGTGTTTGCATTGCCTTAACTGCCTCTCTCAGAGATGGCTTGAGGATGTTTGTATGAGGGAGGTGAAAACATCAGGAGTCTTTTCAATATTTAATCTCAAAAGAAGCCCGGAATATGATGCTTTCTGTTGCTGAGGTACAGGCTGTTGTTAGGAACAAAGGGCATCAGGGTAGAGCCTGGAGTGGGATTTGGAGTTTTGCGGAGCATCTTGCCTGCTGATGCCAGGGCACTCAAAGCCCAAGAGAGGAGAAATGAGATGTTTATTGATTAAGCGTGAGGTTCTATGCTTGTTTTAAATTTTTGGTTATTACCTAAGAACAGAATTGTGGCATTTTTGACATACAGATCATAAATATATTTATTAATGTTTGTATTAGTAGCACTCTTCTTCCTTTACCTGTAGAGATCCTCCAGTTCCTTGTCTCTCCTACAACCAGAAAGGACAGGCTCAATCTAAAACAAGGAAAGGTCACCAGAGGCTTTATTTCCAAATAGCTTCCCTCTTTCTGTTCCTCTGAAGGGCGGAATGTTGTCCTGTGCTTGCAGCATAGGGACAGCTGTGGGACAAAAATGGGGTTTTTCCCTCCCATCTCTGCCTGCCCCGGGCAGCAGCAGCACGGCAGGAACCGTCCCAGCAAAGACAGCCGGGCTGGCTTCCCCGAGGGTCCCCACCGTGGTTATTAACTCAGGCAAACGAAACCCGCGGGAAGACAAGGGGTAGGGGAGGGGCAGCTCTCCAACAGCCGGAGCCTCCCAAACCAAGGCTGTGCCTGGACCACCCATCCCTTTCTTCTTGCGCCCGCCACCGGCTCCCCCAGCTCTGCTTGACCTGGTTCTGCCCTCTCCCACCCCGGGGCTGGTTTTTGCAACACTTCACGAGCAGGGACTGGGCTGGAAAATTAGTGACTTATTTGCCAGGCTGATTTTCGGCTCCCCTAAGCCCCCATGTGTTTTCCTGCATCAGGGAGGGGACGGGAACAGCACAGGTGGAGTGGAACTGCCAGTCCCCCTGCCAGTCCCAGGTCCTGCAGAACTGCACTCCCAGGTGCCTGTGGACAGGTATTTTAGTGTATTTGTTCTATCAAGAAGTTACTGGAAAATGGAAGGGAGCAATTATTCCGGGGTTGTGCCAGCTGCCTTTACTGTCCATCTGCAGAAATGGGACTGGGGCGAAGCAGAGCCCCAGAACAGAGCAAGTTGTCCTGTGCTTTGCAAGGACAACGTGTTACCACGTCCCTTTTACAGCCTTGCATTTCCATATTTCACCCACGGATGCACCTGGATGTGACCCCCCTGTCCTTTCCCAGTGACTGGGGTGCCTCAGGGTGCAGTTGTTCTGCTGCTGTTTCCCAGCGTGCCTGGCGGGGAATCAGCTCCTCCAAGGCTGCTGAATGCACGGGGGGTTGGATGCATAAATCCGTGCACTCCTTGGCCACGGCTGTCATCCCCCCTCTCCTCCCGGTCCGATGAGGGGGCAGGGACGGGATAGCACTGCCTGTGTGAATTCGAGGAGCCGCCAGTGCTTTAGAGCAGTTTGATCTGGCAAATCCCGTGGATGCTCCAAATTTTCTTCTTCTCAGAGCTGTGCTCTCTTTTCCAAGCAGAAAAGATGACACATTTAGGTCTGCTCTGCAGAAGGCAACTTTTAACTGCCTACAGCCGAGTGCAGTCCCCCCCGCCTGTGCTGAGGCGCCAGGAAAGGACTTGCATGGCTAAGAAACGTGCCAGTCTCAGCTCCAAGACGTGTTCTTGGCATCTGACCCCTGCACCATGCTGCTGGGTACAGCCAGGAGAGATGCTTGCGCTCCATCCTCTGAGTGAGGAGCTAGGCTGGCAGATGGCCTGGGGCTGGGACTAGAGCATGTAACACACTTACCACATCTTTAAGTGTCAGCAGAATGCTCCCTTCCTCGCCCCCAACCCAGTTTTTTTTCCTGGATTGTGATCCCACATTTCATTCCCGACTGTGCCAGGGTCGGGAAGGATGTGCTGCTCCCACAGACCTGCCTTGGGATCCTGCAGACTTGCAGCTCCCTCTGATTTCCCTGGCTTTGAGCTCAGCCCTGAGCCAGGGCTTTACACACAGTGCAGGGTTTTCTGTGAGTTAAACCCCTCCATTAGGGGAAGGACAGGAGACCCTTCAAACAATCCAAATCCGAGCATTCCTCTGACAAAGCAGCCCTGACTCCCTCCATCTCTGCCTGTGACTGGGGCCTGATCCAGGTCATAGGGATTCTTCTGCTTCAGGAATTTCCCTCTAAGCACCTGGCCTGCACACTCAGTGTCAGTCCAGAGGGAAAAATCTCCCTTTGCCCTCAGGCACTGCACACTAGTGTGGAAAAATGCTCCTTCCAAAAAATCATCTTATGAGCCTGATTTAAGGATGGCCAAACATTACAGGGAAGAAAGGATGTCATGGAACAACCATCCTCCACTTTTCCTCTCTTTGCAGAGAGGAGCCTAATGCTGTGTGCCGAGGCAGCTGCTTCTCTCCTCAGCCCATCCCTTCCTTGGGATATTTTCTCCTTCTTGAATTGTGGTTGCCAGGAGAGCAGCTGGCATGGACAGTGTCATCCTTGGGCAGCCCTGTCTCATCTTTATTCAGTTACCTGCAATCCCCTTTGGATGAAGACACCAAATCCCTAGTTACAGCCAGGTTAGGAACCGATTAGTTACCTGTGCATCCCAGGCTGGGAGGATGGGATTACCTGGCAATTAGAGAAGCTCAGGTTGAGTTTATTGAGAGGTTTGCTGACATCTCGGAAACGAGTCTGACAGGCCTTTCACGCTGCCCGTCCTCGCCCCAAATGCCTTTCAGGCACGTTAAATGAAATCTTTAAAGTCGGTTTCTTAAACCCGCTGTGGTTTGTGCTCGGGGGATGAGGGACAAGCAAGGCAAACTGCTGGCAATTCCTCTTGTCGCCGCGTGTCTGAGTGCCAGCAGCACCATGGTGACAGCCCTGCTCAGGCCCAGGTACTGACCTGGAAACGCGATATAGCTCTGTGGGGGTGTTTGAGCTTTGAAAGGAAAGGTAATTGATGCCTCGGAGCGGCTGCCGTGCCCTCAGAATCTTAAAGAGCTACTGACTCTGCGAGAGTTTTTAATAACTAGTCACGTAAACCTAGGGTGGCACTCATGCATTTTAATATCCATTAATATTATTGCTCATTAATATCCAACTCACAGGGGAGTGTCTGTTGGCTGATTCACACCAGGTAAGGGTTTGCAGCATCACTGAATGTTTTCTGTCCCTCAGTGTCTGTCTGCCCAGGCCACTTCTGCGCTGTTGGCCAAGCTCAGCCACATCTCACAGGGAGGAAATGGTTGCAGAAATCACATTGTTCCTGGAAGTTCCATGGGAATACACAGGCAGGTAGAGGAGCCATTGCTTGTCTCCCCCGCGGGAGGCTCAATCACTCCCTCTGCTCATGCAACTGCTCTTTGTCCTGCAATGATGCCCCCCTCCCTCCTCCTTTAAAATGCAAGGATCTCCTCCCAGCTGGCTGTTAAGTTTGGCATCGCAATCCTTCTCAAATCCACGGCAAGCACCAAGGACTTTTTTCATTTTTCCATTCCTTTTTTTCCTTTTTCCA